CCAGATCAAATTCTGCACTGGTGCTGTTTGCCACTCCCATTAGAGAGTTATTGTAAAGATTGTTTCAACCAGACCTCTTCATATGATAAATGGTTCTAAACAAAAATCAGAGGAAAATAAGAGGAAAAAGGGAAGAGAGAATATGACAACAGTTTTTGCCTCTCCAGTAGTTATTTGATGTTTCAACAGGATAGGCTTAGGTTCTTGGCAGTAACATTTTAGTAAAGAGCCCCTCTGATTATATATGGTCAGCTTGGCCTTATGTTTGAAGCTGGGTAGACTGCTCACGTAGTACCTCCTATTTATCACATACATATCTACTGTACTTGTTCTAGTCCCTGTGTCAGAAATTTAGACATTCCAGAAGAAATAAGGACAAACAGGTAACATTTCTTTTTGACAACATGGTGCCCTTATGAGATACTTCTGTGCATCAGTGATCCCTCTTCTTCACTAGTTTAATGGCAGGAAATATACTTGGGAAGCATTTGTGAAAATTCTGTGTTTCTCATTTTCCTATGTCAGCAGCTATATATCTGTATAGTGAGAATAGAAAGAAGTAAGGAGAGCACTGATATTCTGACACTGGCTGGACTGAATCCCTTGAAACATCATGGGACTGATACTTTGGAAACATAGTGTTAGCACATGTGCTGTGGCTACTAGTGACGCATATGGAGTGGTGTTATGGTCCAGCTTCTCATAGTTTGTGAGATTTCAGAAAAAATTACTCAAAGAATCCAAATTAAAAATAAAACTAAACTTAACTGAATTAAACTAATCCCAAACCAACTTACATCAAGATACAATGATCACATGGAAAAATCATAGATCATGCATCCTTCAGGCTATATCCATTAAATGATATTATTTACGGATGCTTCTTTCTTTACTGGTATATTAAAATCAATAAAAATTATAAAACTGTTGTTACAAATTTACTTTAAAAATATATATAATATAATTCCAGTGGATAGAATCCCAATTTACAAACCCACATTGCTAAATTAAAATTTAGGCAGATTAAAGAATTTGTAATTGCAACCAAGTGACAGTACCTTCTAATTTATACAGTTTAAGTAAGTTTAATTTAATAATGATTAAACAAGAAAGTCTTCTCTGCACCAAATTTTCCTCTAAATTGAGCATATCAGCGTGTGACATGCACACTCAAATTCAGACACTCTGTGGCTTCACTTGCAGTCTAGTCCATTTGAAAGCTGCTTCCATAGAACTGAAGAGCCAGAGTTGAAGTTGAAAATCTCCCTTTAAACAATTCTCTTTATTCAATGCCTTTCTTTTAACACATTTCACCTTTAGTTAGAACTTCATCCAAAATATATAAAAAGCTCACTGTGATTTATATCAAGGAAATTGAAAGTTAAATACTTAACTGTAAGTATTTTTATAATCAAGTAACATCTTGATTATCTTACACCATACAAAGTCATAAGCATTAATGCTTATTCATATAAAAATTTTTTTCAGACTTTAGTACCTATCTTCTTGATACCACCATTCTTATTAAGATGACAATTACATTTAAAATAAATCTTAAAAAATAAATAAGTAGAATAACTATAGTTTTAAGACAAACATAAAAGAGTAGTGGGTTTTGAGTTAATATACAAAGGGATAGAATTGAATTATTTTTGGTTGGATTCAGAAATAATTTTCGTGATCTCCACACCCTGCTCTTTTTGCAATATATATAAAACAATGCATTCAAGTATCTCATACAAGTATTTAGAAATTGTATCATTGTCAAAAACCTCGTGTTTTATATGCACATGCTTTAAAAGGTTTTAAAGACCATTGAATATCTGCCTCTTATCTCTTCCACTTACACTCCACTTTAATTTTTCATTTTCACCCTGTCATTATAAAATATTCTATCCCAAAAGGACCTTCTGAACTGCTTATCGTTCTCCTAAAAAGAAGCAGATTTGTTACCTGAAAAATCTGCAAATTAGCAGTGATGTAGATAGTGGGGATAATTAGGCATATGTTCACTAATATTGTCAGGAAATAACATGTAGTGATTCGATTGTTGCTGCTGAAAAAATTAAATGTTACAGAGATATCAAAGAGTATGCATTTTTGGGGGCATCTTATTTGAAATATGTTAATGAATTTTCATACTGTTTGTGCGTTTTCCTTCAGTGTCACTAGCATTGTTTATGTCAATTGACAAGGTGACATTGTCAGTTGTTATATGACACTACCAAGACTGAGTACTTTGAACACAAATTATAATTACAAGACTATGTCAACATGTGAATTTTTTGGTGATATAGCTACTGTTTGTGTTCATGACAATGTGACTGTCTTGTTGATTCTCAGCACTAATTCAGTTCAAGCATAATGAGAGATTTTTCATTGAAGATTCCATACTGCCTTTCAACTAGACAAAAGAGAACAGAAGTTTTAAATAATTTATGTAATTTTTACCTCTCAACAAAACCTTTTCATTACTAGAATATCATCTGCTACCTTAAAGAATATTTATTAGATGGTGTTTAATTTTAATATATTTTGGTGCGGACGAGAATGGTTAGCATAGCAAATGGTGAACAAACTGATCAAATAAAGTTAAATAATAAACATTCTGTTTGTTTATATTGCTCACAAAAGTATTTTAGCATATGGCATATTCATCTTCATTGTGTAGCCACATAGAAGAATGCATGAAAAAAGGTAGTTTTGTTTTTTAAATGGCTTGAAGAGTATTAGTATTTTTTTGTGAAGTCACTGAAATGACGTTTCACTGTACATTTGAAAAGTTCTGTATTATAAACTTTTATAAAAGCATAATAAAGTTACATCTATGTATATGGATAATGTATGCATAAAGATAAACTACTATGAATTACATATTCAAAAATTAAAATTCCAAATCGCAAGTAGTGGAACAGTATTAGACACAATTGCCTTTAATTTATTAATTATCAGTTACAGAAGGCATTATCTGGTCAATGTAAAAAATATCAGGAAGATAATATAGGAAGATCAAGAAATTAAAACCATATCAAATTCAGAGCAATTATGATTGCATATTAAAGAGAAAATTAAGATCTAGATTATTCATTGTTCTGGTTTGTGGGTTTTTCACTGTCCATAAAATATGACTGTAACGAGTATCACTCTGGTGATAAATATTAGAAATTAAGTATCTGCTCTGCAGCACAGACAGGTGTTTTTTCAAAATATTAGACATAAACACTGGCTTTGAGGATATTTTTGTGCTGGGATGGACTTGAATAAAAAGCAAGCAAAATGCAGAGATACTCCACCTAAAGCACTGTGGTGAAAAGTTGACTGAAAGACATGTTAGATGCAGACAAATATGTTGAATTAGTACATTTTATTTTCTGTATCACTAATTATTTCTAAAATGATCTTATATATATATATATAGCTATATATATATATATACACACACATATAGCTATATATGTGTGTATCTTTCAAGCATTTCATTACATTTTCCTGTAATCAGAGAAACCATTAAGGGAGTATTTTGAAGACAAGGATTTTTTGATATTGTTATTATTATTATTATTATTTATAATTTTAATGAAGTTTTGTTACCTATCTCATTATTCATTCCAAATATCAAAAACCATGATAAACAAATTTAGAAAAAAACTGTAAATTATGCATACTTGAGATTAGTGCTGTAGAAAGTGGTCTTTTTTAAATGCTTGAATAATTGTGTTTAACGGCAATCCATCTATTCTTAACAGTATGTTGACAGAAGTTAAAATTATTTAAATTAAAATAAAAGGAATAACATTCGGTATGCATTTGGGAGAATAAGTGTTCACAGTACAGACACAAAGCCTCGTGTTTCTGAAAGAATCTAACAAATAGGGATTAGCAATACTTAAAAAGTTGCATTTTCCTTGGCCTGACATGTTGGGATTTTAAGGTAATCTGGGGTTGCACATAGCATTAATTTGTGACAAGTGTGATAAGAAGTGTGACAATTTAAAACACTAGTCATATGAATCTCAGACAGACAAATCTTCTTGCCACAGCATTAATGTGCAGAGGTGTCGCTGTTTATGGGTATATAAGGGATGGTAGAAACAAATGCAGAATCAGGTAGACCAAAAAACTTAGTTGTGTGCCTGTCCTTGATATACCAAGTACCTTGACCATGTGTTAAATTCAATTGATGTTAAATTCAATTATGTAGGGACATTTGCTGGCCTACTGAAAACTTGCAAGAACATCCCTATTTCTTTCCTATATTATATGACCTAAAGCCCTGTGTACTAAAAATGCCAGTTCATATTCCTAAGCATATGGCTTGAAATGAAATAAAATATGATATGTGTGTGTGTGTGTGTGTTCAAAAAAGACTTTGTTTCAAAGGATGCTGACCAGATATTTTCTTCTTTCATGCCTTATAATTCTCTTTTCTGATGAGTGCCATTTTTCACACTAGATATTTCTTCAAAAGTATGATGAGTGTGTTTATATGAGCAATGTATCTCTTTTGCAACACTTAAATGCTTATGAAATAGTTTCTTTGCTTCACAGATAGCAGGAGTTGGGGGGCTTGAAATCAAAGCCAATTGCTATCAGAATTGACTGCACTTGTTCAAAGTATTTACAGCTGCTCATGTGAGGTGCACTTTGCAAATGTTGATGGGAAAGATGTATGCCATCTAAAGGATATCTGAATTTAAAAGTTAAAGTTGCAGTATCAACACTTCATAGCACCAGTAAATGAAAATACCCCATGGTCCTTACCTGTATCTCAAGTTTCATGCAGTGATAATTAGGTATTTCTCCCTTGTGTAACACATACAACACACATACATGTATATTATATTTTGGAATTCTTTTATGAGTTCTTTTATTGATTTGTTTTCTGAGCATGTTCAATGCAAAGACAAAGCACTCAGACATTACAGCTCAGAAAAAAAGGAGAAAGACTACAGAGAGCAACTTGTGGTTTTCTGATGGACCTTTTTCACTTTTCTTTCCAGGTGACTTTTACGAAGAGGAAATTTGGGTTAATGAAGAAGGCTTATGAGCTTAGTGTTCTGTGTGACTGTGAGATTGCTCTAATCATCTTCAACAGCACCAACAAACTGTTCCAGTATGCCAGCACTGATATGGACAAAGTGTTGCTGAAATATACGGAGTATAATGAGCCACATGAGAGTCGAACAAATTCAGATATTGTTGAGGTAAGACTTAGTGTTTTGCTCTGAGGTGGAGGTGTTCCAAGTAGATTATACCTTCGAGTGACATAGCAGCAGGAGAGCAGAACAACAGTAGTGTATTGGCTTGAGCACTGGAGGTGACGAAGCCAAACCTGCAGGAAATTCATGTCTTTTGAGAGCATTTTATCCTTCTGAGTCTTGCAGTAACTTCTGCAAAGTGATTTCTGGCTCCCTATTTTCCAGGTTTCTGTGCTGCTTTGTCACTTTGTTGCATTAATCCTCTCCATGCCTTGATCACTACCTACCAGCTGAATCTCCCGCCTGTCTCCTAGTCTCTTCCAGGGACAGGCTTCCAGAAGACATTGCATACTTTGTCTCCACAATCAAAAAGCTGTAATATTGTCTGTCCAGGAGGAATTAAGAATACATTGTAAAAGATGTGGAAGAAGATTTAGAAGCATTTGTTGGTGTAATTTGACTGCTTTTCTTAGCTTTTTGATTGTTTACAGGGGGTGTCTAATAAAATGCAAAAGAACAGTTGATTTACAATTTGCACAGTAAAAATATATCAGCTACTCACACAGAATATTGTTACCATAATATAATAGTGACAGTATCAAAGCAATAGTGTCAGAATGCTAGACACATTGTTTAATTTTTTTTAAATTATAAGGAACAATTTTTATTTACAATTACTGAAAATTATTAACTTAAATTTAAAATTTTAAAATTTAAGCTTCTAATATTTGTAGAAAAGTCAATGTACATTGCAATCACATTTGGATTCAAGCTATGCAAAATACATAAAGCCTTCAATGAATTTGTCGTTATTAACAAAGCACTCATATCTTAGACAGATATCTAAAAAATGATAGATCTCTAAAAATTACAGAAATGATACAACAGAAGTTGTATGTGAGCTATACAACTTCTGTTTTTAAAATGCATGACTGATCTAATGGTATCAATTAAAAACATAATAGAAGGATGATGACCTATCTTAAGGGTCAGTGAAAATTTACTTCTGAATATGTTGATGTATATACTTAGTTTACTCCAGATCTTTAAAAGTTAGTTTCAGACTTTGGAATTATCTGGATTTTGTTTGAAATACAACTTTGATACTTTTGGAATCTTCACCAGGGTTAGTCATGTTTTTGAGACTGGCAGTGTAAGGTAGTGAATTATTTATGCGTAAAATATTTTAAAGGATAAAAAGTTCTGCATAATTAAGATTGTTAAACTTGTTACAGAGTCACAGTCACACCACCTTAGATATGCAAAGACTGCACACAGGAATATATATCACTTCTGAGTATCCTTATGTTACCATCTAGGAAGTTACTATTTGCTTCCCTCCTTATTTCCCCCAGATTCTGCCTCCCATTAGAAGAGCATGAGGTTCTGACAGCAAAAAAAAAAAAATTTTATGTGCATTAAGAGTAGTAGGAAAGTGCATAATTTCTTCATGCATCATTTCTTTTCCTCTCTTACTTCAGATCTTCTGTATAGACATGAAGCATTTCCTGCTCCCCAGATCTGGGAAGTCCAAAAGAATTCAAATTCTATGCCCAAAATAAAGTCCTGTCCTTTTTTAGGGGCAAAAGGCCAGAATATTCTTAGCAGAAGAGTTTCCTGTGATAGCTTTTCTTTTTCCTACAGGCTTTTGTGTGGAAATACACTTAGGGATTTATTGCTTGCCTTACAATTAATGAATACATTTTATCATAAGGACTATGATTTTCCAAGGATCTTGAAAGAAAACTTAAAATTTCAAATAATGTTGAAATTTTCAGAAAGAGAACTCACTGCATCAGCAAAATCTCTTTCTGCATAAACAGCAGGCCAATTCGGATAGGTTGATTAGCAGTTTTGCATGCAGATGTGTAATTTTCTGACTATACCCAAAGTTTGGTAGGCAACTCTTTTCACTTTTCTAAAAGGAACAATATAAAAGTGGATAATTGAAATTATTTTTTTTAATTGAACAATAGACATAAAAGGCCAAATGAAGTGAATGATCTGTCAGCTCTGAGTTGGACTTTCTATTACATTTTTCTATGTTCTGCCTGTAACATAAAATACTTAAACTGTATCAGTACTGGTACAGTTTGAGAATCCAAGGAGTTCTCCAGTATGTAGGTTTTGAACAAGGATTCCATATTATCATGCCTTTAATGGATAATGAACATCACAGTTACAAGTAAGTACAGTAGAAAATAGAGCTTTGATAAATGGCTTGACTCTTAGTGTAGTTTGGGTATATTTTCAGGTACAGGATATAAATCTGCCACATATTTAATCATTTTAATTGATCAGTTAAAGTGATCAATTACACATTACACATATTTTCCTTCTAAGAGGTCCATCTTCTTTTCCATTTCAGACAGCTAGATTTCCCACGTAAAAGTTTTTAATCTTGTCTTCCAGACCAATGAACAGCAGCAGCTGAGAATTAGACAATATTTTTAAATCTGAGCATTTTCAACTAAATGTCTATTCAATAACTATATTTCAGCAGAAGACAAGGGCATAGCTGTGCTCATATATTCCTGAATAGTATTCAAGAAAGAAAACCTTTAGGCAGACCAATGAAAATTTGAAATATAACTGTCAACCATATAAAGGTCTTCAATTTACTATCCAATTTCTGTTCACATTCAGCATAATATTAACTATTTAGTTACTTTTAAGTTGTGGTAGAACTGTTTTATCAGTCATTAAAATGAGGTGTAAGTTCTTTGAACTATCTATATTCAAAGAAAAATAAAAGAGCAGCTCTCTAATATGTAGTTAATTACTTTTAAGTTAAACCACTGCTATTCAAATTCAAAAATTTTATAACTTTTCATGTAGATCTGGCTAAAGCTGTTCATTTTATTAAGTAAATGTTTTCAATATAATTACTGGGATTAATTATATTAACATTTATGAAAACGTAAGTCTTCAAGCATAATTTGTTGTTTAAAGTAACAAGTAAAGAAGAAAACATGGTCATATATCTAACAAACACCACATTTTTTAACAGAAAATTCCTTCCACCCAACTTAGAGATAAACAATATCAATAAATCTCTCTTGATAAAAAATTGAATGCTAATAGTTAGAAAATTGTAAGGCCAGTTACTGCTGTTGTTTGAGGTTCTCTGGTTTAATGATTTAAAACAGCTCATGTTTTCATTGCATATGTAGAAATTTTATTTACATGCAATAAATATAACTGAGACAATGTTTCCAGTTGCTTCATCAAAATGAAGTTGATTGACATGTTATTTGATATATCTGAGTTTTTCAGGTCACAAAAATTGTCTACCAGGTGAATGTGTTTCAGTTAAGACCCAGTAAATATGCCTATAACGTACAAGGGCAAGTTCAATATGTAGTCATGAAGGAGAAAATGTATGCGTTTTACACTTATTTCAAGCAACAGTGACAATTATTGTGCATGGAGATATGCATTAATTCTGGGAAACAAACAAACCAAACAAAAAAGCCAACAAAACAAAATCAACTAAACAAAAAAGGTACATTCTGAAACTTCTGTTTAGCATTAACTGGATTCTTAAATTTGAAGCCATTATGTCCTCACCCACCAAACTATTCATACCACAGTCATTCATTCAATTTTCCTTCAGTTAAAAAGTGAGCATTAATTGCTGGATTTAGAAATTCTTTTAAGGAACAGCAGAAACTCTGGTGAGTTCATTCAACACAGAGGAGAAATACAACATTTGATCTTTATGCTAACCTCGAAGTGTGTATGTAAATTCCAACAATAATATATCCAGACTAATTCTATAAGACTATGCAATAAGTTACTTTCAGCAATAAGGAAATGAGAAAGAAAGAAATGTCAGCATTTTACAACAGTCAAATGCATGCATTATGTATTATTTGGATTTATTATGAAATGGGGTCAGATCCTTTCCTTGTTTCTATAAAACAGAAATGGATGTAACACAACTTATTTTAGTGACATCTCACTGCCATGCTGCTGTGATTAACAAAAATCCAGTTCTGTAACACTCTAAGCTCACTACTTTAGGAGCTCAGGAAAGACTTCAGCCTTAGATGGAAGGGGACAGATTTCAGAGCAGGAATATGAGGAAATATTTTGTTGCAAATATAATTAAAATTCTAACTATGCTATAGAAATCTGTAGTGATTCTTCATCTAAGCCATCAAGTCTTTGCTGTTTTAAGGTGAAACTTCCTGCCCGTTTTCTTACATATTGTCCATTTTTCCTTCTAATTTCTTTCATGTCAAAGCATCAGCTACTGTCTTAGCTTTAGAAGACCGCTAGTGAGTTTTCATTGACTCTTGGTTTTGATTCAGTTTCTGGTATACCGAGCTTAATACGCTGAGCCTTGCTCTGTGTGCACATGACCCATTCCTCCACAAATCACCCACTACTTTATCTTTCACCTCTTTTTGAACCCCCAATCCATCAATTTATTTGACCCTGCTGCTTTTATTGTCTCTCTTTCTCCACCTGACTTTTCTTTATCTGCTGATTCAGTGGTCACTACCTTTAGTTCAAGTTCCCTTGCTACATCAGCCCTTTCAAATTCACCCCTATCTTCCATTTTCAGGCACACATTCATCCATCTCCTCAGTTCCCCTTTACCATACCACTAATCACTAGTAGAGAAAAAAGCAGACCAGTCTTCATTCATCTTTCTCTTTGTTAACTGAGGTTTTATGACACGAATGCTAATCATCCACCAAATATCTTAATTTTGCAAAGTTCACTGCAGAAAACCGCTAATTTGTATGCATGCACAGACATCTGTCTGATCTTTGCAGGCCTCCACTACCTTAGAAAAATTCCCTCCTAAGCTCAGTGTCTTTTCTGAAATATCTCTTATTACCTGCTTTTTGATCTTTTTCTGGTACATGTCTTCAACTTCTCCTTTATTTCTCTCTCTCTCTCTCCTTCTCTCTCTCAATTTTTTTAATCAAGTGTCAGAAGGATTTCATGGTCCTCAACATGGATTTTTACATATAGAAGATACCAGCTCCTGC